AGCCAACCGTACAGGGTTTCGCCTATTCTTTATATAGTACCAAACATTAACCTATGCTTTTGGGTTTTTCTTTCGTACGAAGTCAGCCGTCGGATTTTACAGAGTAAAAATGAGTTGTGGGTTTAGATGTAACTTTTGCGTTAATTCTTCAGTTAGGCTTTGAACATCGTTCAGGCACCATTACGTTCATAAAGCATTGATTATGTTTGCGGTGTTAGATTTGTTTCTACTTTTGTGTCTTTTTCTGAACGCCCAATACGCTATAGACTCGAAGCGGCAGTAATCCATTTAATTTAAAACATTTGCGGGTATGTACCGACAGTAGTGTAAAGGGCATCGACTTTGTTTTTCGTCTTAAAACTCCGCTATCGTTTATAACGTTTCAGTCTTGCTTGCATTCAGTGCTTGATGATATAGCTTTTAAATGTTGTTTTAGGCTGTCGATTTCATAAAGCAAATTTCGGTGAATATAACGTCTGCGGACGGTGGGTGAGTGTCTTACTATTTTATGTAATCCCCATCACACGTTATTAAATTTCTGTAATGATTCACTCCAATCTGATCGAAACCTGCACAGCTGCTAACCATCTGACGCGTCCCTGTGTTGCGGAGAAGAGAACGATCTTCAGGTGTGGAAAATAAGCAGTCGCGGATAGGTCAGGCCGCTAGAGTTAGGCTAAGTTGTGCCGTGCTCTACAAGTTTGTTCCTTAGAAATAGTCAATGCCTGACGACGCTTCATTTGAAGTGAAAGCGACCCTTTTCCCGTTTTGATGAAAAGGGCTGCCAATGTCACATCTGCCCTGAGGTTGGACGTTGGTTTGTCAAAGATTAGATGAGAAACTTCGATACAAGTCCAGGCGGAATTTGGGGGCTGATCTGTACAAATTTTTCCAGCCTCTTGTCAGTTTTGCCAGCGAGTGTTAGAACTTTCATGCGTTATGACAACAAAGTGTTGTGGCTCAGCACGATTCCTCTCCAAATGCCATCAAGTCCAGGAGATCCAGATGGATCAGATGGAGACGAAGATTCCCAGTCTCAGATCGTAGACTTTTTCAGACGTTTCTCAATAGTTTTCATGGCATCATGTAAAATTTGGTACTGCATATTTTGGTTTATTTCACATGCGGGTTTTCTAACATTAGATCTAAGACCCCGTTTTGTGTTGATCAGTGGTCATCGCGTGGGCGTCGATTTGACTCCTCAAAACAGTAATTTTGTGACCTAAACGTTTGAAAGTAAAATATAAAATCATTTTCTTACAATATATTGGTTTTCACTGCATCCGTGCTTTTCAAACCAAGTCAGGTTACGGGTGTCAAAGATGACGATTAATCACCCCTAGGCAAAAGATATTGGGGCAAGGTCACATTCCGTTATAGCTCTAGAATAAAGTAGTGTTTTCACTTCTTATCATTTGCCGTCTGAATACATCGCATTACCACTTAATTTTCAAGTTTATGATTTAAATTAACAATTATGCTTTGTTGTTGATTTTTATTTGACCGTTTAAGGGGATCAAGGTTAAGGTCGATAAGAATCACAGAGTACAGAAGTTTATGGTAATGTTTTGAAGAACCCTTTATTTATCGATGGGTCGAAAAATGCTGACGATGATCAGTTACCAAGGTGTATTGCAGCCGTATAGGCCGCACCACATCCCCGTCGTGTCTCTATTATTTGCATGTCAGAGACCCGTTTTCCGCTTTTTCGCTGGCTACCCGAAGCACAGTGAAATGAGTTCCTTGCCCAAAGAAATTAGTGCTCTAGCATTCTTTATCCGCTCGTGCAAGGCCAGCTGTTGGCCGTTGCGTGCCTGACTTTCATTACATTAAAAGGAAACTGGATTAATATCAGTCTTGGGTGCATGCAAAATTCAATATGAATAAAACCAGTTATTGAGCGACAAACATGCTCGGTATCAAGTATGAGGAATGCATCAGAAGTTTTTGATGTCATTCTTAAAGCTTCTGTGTTCACTCAGCATTGATCTACTTGGCACCGATGTTCTTTGGGGTGTTTACTGCTTGCGATTTGCTTTCCTCCCACTGTGGTGTTGCCTTAAATATTCCGTTAGATCCGCTGATCTTCCCTGTGAATGCATGGCATCACTTATGGTCTCTGAAATATGGGTTGTTATAAAGTATTTCGCTAGAACGACTATCGTTGATTTTTCACCTCTATGCTCCCTTGGCCATTTGCTCATCAGTAACGGAAGTCTCACGTTTGATATTTAATTCTTCGTGAATGCATGGAAAATGATTTTTGGAAAATACTGACACTTAAACACTACCGAAAGTTCGAAGTCGAACTGGGGACGAGATTCAATTTTACTTAACTCTTTCTGTTCTGATTGTGGATGTATGGATAGGCTGTGTCTACTGTAGTTGTTACATGACTTGACTTTCGATTTATTCTTTTTTGCTACTGATTCGTGATAAACAATCGCCTGTTTAGCATTGGCCGCGACCGACTCGTGAAATGCGCCGCAACCACGCTGAGTTCGAAGCTGGTTTCGACCCAGAAGGACTACTTCGCAAATATGATTGTCGAGGCAGTAGCCCATTTGGATGAAGGCTTGCCCATAAACATGATAGGAATCAAAAAAGTTCACGGTGGATCTCTCGAGGTAATTGCCCATTGGAAAATTTGCACTTATTTCTGTGACTATGGTTTGAGCGAGGATTTTCTATTTGTTAAGGATTCGGAATTAGTGCTTGGTGTAGCGTTCAAGAAGTCATTTTCCTATGCCGGCTTCGAAATGCAACCAAAAGCATATGCTAACCCGAAAATTGCGATGCTCAACATCGAGCTTGAAGTAAAGGCCGAAAAGGACAATGCCGAAGTGAGGATCGACACCGTCCAGGTTTGACACACCCACAGACGTTTTTCGATGCGATCACTGAATTTCAGCGTTGCGTTTCGTTTGTAGGAGTACCAACGTATTGTCGATGCAGAGTGGAACATCCTCTATGATAAGTTAATAAAAATTCAGGAAAGCGGCGCCACGGTCGTTCTGTCTAAATTACCTATCGGTGACGTGGCGACTCAGTGGTTCGCCGACCGGTAAGACAAGAGAGGGGGATGTTCATCATTGTTCTGGCATATTGATCCGCGTCCAATTTTTAGTGACATGTTTTGCGCGGGTCGCGTTGCGGAGGAGGACATGAAACGGACCGTTGAGGCTTGCGGCGGTGCTATTCAAACGTCGGTCAGCAACTTGACGCCCAACGTTTTGGGCACATGCGAAATGTTTCAGGAAAAACAGATCGGAAACGAGCGGTAAGTGGACTGCTTCACTAGCATCACTATTTTTGTTTTGCACTGTTTGAACGTTTTGCAGCTATCTAGATTCCTTCAGTAAGCAAATTTCATGGATAAGAATATTAATAAAATATATTTTTTACCCCCTGCTTATTTCGTTTTACATTTCTTGTTTTAACAAGCTTTAATGTTACACATGGTAATAATAATTTTTGGTGCATGACCAAGGTTTCGTTTGATAGTAGTTTTTATCAAGTACAGACGTCTTCTAGAGATTATGAAGATGTGATGAAGTTGTTCATATTTGTCGAAGATTTGCATATATCGGCAGGGCGTCATCTCTCTTCATGACATCTGGCCCTGATACTGTAATATCATTATCTATGGCTCGTCTTTTAAAAGAAAAAAAACAACAGGACCGTTGTCAGATCAGGATCGAAATATCGGTCACGATTAATGAAGTCCAGACATAGTGAGTAGCGACAAAAAAACAGAACTATATTATTCCCTTAACCGCACCACTGATAGCTATTCTACCTGGTCAAAAGACATTATTTAGGGATGAAGGAAAAGAAGACTGTAGCTGCCATCACCCTCCCAATAACGAAATAAAAGCGACATTTAAACATGCTCAGTTGCTGCTCTTCACTAAATTCCACCGCATGCAGCGGGGACTTCAGCAGACAAAAAATACAGACTGTAACAGGCAGTTTCGACGAACGATTAGTTGCCGAATTACTCTTACTTGAAACGATATCAATTTGATAATGTGTTTTTGCGTATGTCTTTACATTATTACAACTTGGCAATCCATTGTTAGCAGTGGCAATATTATCACATGCGTTTACCATTGATAAAGGATCGTTGTATCAACCGAAACCTTGGTCCTACCTCAAACCTTTTTTAACGTGAATATTATTACGGTTTATTCTTTACATATAAAGCCTCATGTGCGTATTACTGAAGGACAGTTGCTTGTTGTTTTGCCATCCTTTACAGCTGTGAGTCGGAAGTGAAGCAATTCAGGAGGTTGACTAATTTGTTAAGTCATTTACTCCATTTTCTTAAGCAGGACAATGAGAGGACGATCTAAGCTACTTGTGCTTTTGGAAATCTCCCCAATGTTTGGTTGAAAAATGTGCATTGCTTTCGGCCATAATTCTTCTGAGTATTGCCTGTATCAGGACAGTGTTCTTGTAAGGGATGAAAGCAGTTGTTCTAATGAAGGAGCATGAACGCGGTTGAAGTGCGTACGGCACCTGTGGCTTCGAAACATAATGAGGGTTAAATGATAGGACTACGTAAGGAATGACTGCCCTCTTCCCGGCACAAGTGACTTCAGTAGGTATAGAGTTAATAAAAAGATGATTGGTCCTGTAAGACAAACTGGTTGAGCATAAATTGTTTACTCTAGCCCATGAGCGAAACTCGTCAGATATCAGGACATCGTGCTAGCTGAAGAACCAAGGTAGAGGTGATTCGTGTATTTTCGAGAAAAATATTTCTATTTTTGATGCAGTAATCGCAAAACTGAGAGCAGAACTGTTGAAAATCTGTGAATATAGCAGATATCACCAATAAGAGACGTTTTGCTCGTGAAAATTGTGGAGATATCAAGCAACAGAATAGTTGCTGCTCATGGCACATTCAAGGCAGATCAGAGAGATTTAAATGGTAAAGTCTTTTCGAAGGAAATTTATAAATTGCTTTTTACCATTTTCGAATTCGATCCATGAACCCTGATTCTTTACCCTATTCGCCATACGATATCGATTTTAAATGTTTTACAGAATATTGTCGATGATAAAGCGCTATTCTGACGGTAGTTGTTAGCTGTTCTTGTCAAATTTGTTGAGTTCAGTTCTTGGTATGCTCTGAATTTTGCTTGTTTGCCGAAAGTTTCTTTGATCACCGAGCTGAACTCGTGAAGTTCGTGTAAAAAACAACTTGAGTTTTACGTGCAGGGTTCCTTGATTTATCTCATGGTTGTACGTACTTCCTGGATTACCTCGATTGTTAGAGCGTTTTGCTTTGAAAAGTAAGGTTTTTACTTTCGAATCTAGACTCTCTTACTCATCTTTTACTTTCAGTGGGGATAAATGCTCACGATGCACCACAAGTTTTGTAAACGCATAGCTAACTGAATACGGTTCGTTAATTAGGCACTCTTGACTCATGAACGAAAGTGGGAAGCAAGTCCAAATTATATACTCTATTAAAAAGGGTGCCGCAAACAATGACTTTTGTTATAGGTGTAATGGGGAGACAACCTGATGGTTACGTTCTACTTTCCTTTCTTTACTTTTCCTACTCTACAGATTACAACAATATAAAGTTATTTTTAGTTGTTTTATGCTGATAACACATTTCCCTTAGTGCAGTTATGACCGTTAAAATGCGATTGTTCCTAAATTCACTGATGAATTCACTACATTCCGATGGAGATTGACTTGTTGGTAATGACGGTTCGCTAAGTCGTACATTTTTCAGAAATTAAATTCCACAAACCTCGAATTAGGTGACCGAGTTTTGTAGAATATTTTGCATTGTTGTGCTTTGGAATCCGCACCTCTGAGCGTTTGCGTTTGGCGACGAATTGAGACCAGTGGAACTGTCTTCATGACCGAAGGGAATATCTTTTAAATAAATAAAATGTCGATAAATCCCCGTAACGCCTGTTAAATTATGTTTTTCCAAAATATAGAAAATACGCATTATTATCGGTCGTAACTGCGCTCATTGATCATGTTTTATTGTTGGCGTTGTCAACCTATTAGAGGTTTAAGTAACTAATAAATTTGTAATCGCAGGTGTCTAAGACGAATTCGCGTTGAACCTGCAAACTCACGCGTAATACTGCCGTTCCTCTCTTCTGATGATGGCTTGCTTTAGGTACAACTACTTCACTGGCTGTTCAAAGGCGAAAACATGTTCCATAATTCTTCGAGGTGGCGCAGAACAGTTCATAGATGAGACCGAACGGTCGCTGCACGACGCGATTATGATCGTCAGGCGAGCGATGAAAAATGTATCGATTGTAGCCGGTGAGATTATTGCGTTTGTCTCCTCCTCTGTATGAAGTGGTTCAATTGTATTAGGTGGAGGAGCGATTGACATGGAGACCAGCAAGTATTTGCGGGATGTTGCAAGAGAGATCCCAGGCAAAGAACAGCTACTCATGTGCGCGTTTGCCAAGTCATTTGAAAGCATTCCCCGGCAGCTGTGCTACAACGCTGGATTCGATGCTACGAATTTGCTGAACAAGCTGAGGCAGAAACATGCTCTCGGTAGGTGATGTGTGAAATTTCGGCCTTAAATGCTTTGGGGGGTTGATGATTGTAGTTGTTTTTTCAGCTAATGTTTGTGGCGTATTTCGTTCCTGCGTTGTTGGCCATATTTAAAATACAGAATAAATATGGTTTCATTTTATATGCAAGAATATATTTGTTCGTCCAGTGAGAGTTTATGGCGAAGTCTTAGGGAGGCCCTCATGCAGTGGTCGATCGAACAGCGCTGACCCTGATTATTGAGTGACTTCCGAAGCATTGTCTCAAACTGTCTTCAGAGTAATGGAAGTGTTAGTTTTTGGTTGTTCCAAAACTGTTTTTAAGCAGATGGTTTTTTTTACCCTAGAGATGATCGTTCGCTCCCAGCTGCTGATATAATTCAGAAAACTGCCACCAGCGTTACCTTCTAGAAGTCCGAAATGTCTGTCATTTTATGGATCACAGTTTTGCATTGTGCATAATAGAGTCGTAACATTTTTAAAATTATTGCCAACGAAGTGCTTTCCGATTCGATGATAAGCGACACGAGGAAGTAAAACTTTCATTTCACTTAAAGGCTAGGCCTTCCTCTCGACCTGTGTCTTCGTTTTACCTGTTTCTAGTTCTACTCGCAGTTCTCTACTACGTTTAATGAGCTAGTCTCACTGCATAAGGTTAACACATACATCTCGATCGTGAAACACTGATAGTTATGTGATGTCATATTTGAAGCACACCGAGATACTAAACTCGCTTTTAATGAAATACAGTCTTTCAGAGTAGATAATAAAGCATAATGTTGTTGAGATAGACAGTTGCCTATTGAGGAGAAATGCGTTCGTAGTACTCTGAGATCGATAGTTGGATGGGCTTTAGAATTTGATTTGTTGAACTTGTCGAAACTTGCACTTTACTTGTCATCGCTTCTTGAACGGAATGTGACAGTTGGAGTCTGCCAGTGTTGTTTACACGTTTTTCATAATATATCTGAATGTTTTCAAACAACACCTTAACACAGCGTGAGAGAAACATGACCCGATAGCAAAATACATTGAACCATACCATTATGGACGTTCGGGGTAATCAAAATCCGGTTGCATGCATTTCATTATATGACGTGGTGGAATACTGCGTAAGAGGTTGGCCCAGAACGCCGGAGGCGCCCGTATCGATTCCCACTGAAAGCGATTTTTGTCTTCACCATGAATTTTACTGAGCAAGGAATCTACCATACTTTGCTTTAGACGGGCTTTTTAGTCGATAGGGCGTCGGATGCAAAACTGAGAGATCCCGGTTTCGCTCCCTGGTCATGTCACTTGTCTTTCTTCCTTCTGAGGTTAATAAATGAGTACCACTTTGTGCGAAGGAAATACGAAACTACACGCTGCGCTAGCCACATTGTTGTGCATTGTGCTTTTAAGAAATAAATTTTCGTTGATGACGTAGAAACGGAGATCTGCCCCTCACCAATGATGGCACCTTTCTTTTATGGAGCTTGTTGTACAGTTCTGTTCTGCGCCTTTACGTCGTTAGCCAGGGATTTCTTGATCTGTTAAATTGTTTCTACTGCATGACATTTTCTTCGCAGCTTGCGATAGTTGGTTAGTTAAAAGGCCGCCACTTGACCAGGGTCACAGGCCGATGTATCGATCATTCGTTTGACTGACTCTTAGAGTGTTAGTTCTGAAAGAATTTAATGGTGCCGGTATCTTTGTTAATTTTTGATATGAAGCCAAGCAAGCAATAGCAATATTTTCATGAACAACCAGATTTAGGTGTAAGTCATAACTTCGGGATTCTGTTATTCCTAGATAGCGACTGATTTGTTTGCTTTTGAAAAACTGTTTTTTCGCTGTTTGCTCAATTTTTAAATTACTCGTAAATATGTCGTGGTTAATATGGCATCATTTTAGTATTCAGTTCTAACTCTCTACTAATGGTTAGGCAAAAACAGTACTTCTCTTGCTTGATGTGTTGTTGGATAGAGTACGTATTTTACATATAACTTGCTCTTCAATGTTTAGGTGAAAAATGGTTCGGAATTGACATGAAAAACGAAGACGTGACTGATACAATGGAATCATGTGTTTGGGAGCCATCCATGGTCAAAGTGAACGCAGTCACCGCGGCGGCTGAAGCAGCTTGCACTGTGTTGTCCGTTGACCAGACGATCAAAAATCCGAAGTCCAGTAACGATGTCGACGGACAGGGTCGCGGTGGATTTAATCCTGGCCGAACTTTCGGTTAGATTGGTGACGCCAAGGACTTTGTCTGCTTCCTATTTAAATCGTATGCATATGGTTTAGAAAATAAACTGGGCCTTTGACGAGGCGTTATTGCTCGTATTTTTCAGTCGATTTTACTTTAATTAATTCTTTAATTATAAGTGCCATTTGTCAGGCGGAGCAGAACACAAATCTGTGCGGAATGTAGCAGGTAATGTAAGCAGTTATGTGGCTTGGACAAAAGAATGTTCAATCCGGTTTGCTTCTGACTGGCTAGGTGAATCACTGTTCAAAAGATCAGTTTTACCTCACAAGTATGTGCTTTTGTGCACGCCTCCATCCTTTGGATGGTTTCACTCTAATAGCACGATCGAATGAAAGATTATCTGATTAGTAAGCGGTTGAGGCACACTGCTGTATGTGTATCCAACTTTTAGGTAGCTATCCGTAAAGCATAAGGGTCGCTACTTAGACTTTCATTCAATATTATGTTATTTTAACTGTTAGTTGTGAATGTCTCTGATGATCCCTTCCGTGCCTGAGCTGAGAAGTTGGAGCAAAGTAAAAAACTGCATGTGAAAGAGCGTACAACTGCTTGAATTGGATGATGAGTTAATCAATTTGTAGGCATAGTACTTGGGATGATTACCTTCATAGGTCCAAAATGCACTCATGATAGAAACAGGTTGCAAAAGCGAAAAGAGGAAAGTTGTCACGGTAAGCTGTCGCTGTGTGAGTTATCAATGCTTAGTGGATACGGCAGCATCGTTGCTTCGCTACCCGTCAACTCGATTTGGCTTCAGCATGGTCGTGTCATAATAGGCCGAATTCGAACGGATAGCCTGTTCGGGCTAGCTATGACTGCTCGGTTTGGTCACCCGAGCTGGAAAGGTGCGCGCTATCGTAATCTATTAGTGTTATCATTCCGCGCATCGCGTTTCGTTTCTGCAGTAAATCCACCAGAAATGAATCATTAGAAATCATTTGGCCATTCCCTGAATCCTGAAAGATATGCTTTGAAGCTTCGATGCACATGGAAAATTGTGTTCGTGATTGGTTTGTGGGACGTTTATTTCACTGCACGCAATGAGATTTGAGAAAAATGTCATCAGTAACAGGAAAACTGATAAACCCCGTCAAATATCATTGTTCTGTTGAAGAGATGAACAAAGTATATTTCGTCGGCGTCTGTTGAAATCGATGAAGCTGTTCTAACAAAGGAGGAAGACCGGCAAATGAACTGTTTGCAGCAGCGTTGGCTTGGACAAAAATTGACAAAAAAGGTCAGGATGATGCGAGGAACGACTTCTCCTTCAGGTACAAATAGTCTCGATAGGCATTGAAATTAAGAAGTGATTTGCTCTGTTAGACGAGTTGGTTGAACACAAACTGTTTATTCGAACCAGCCAGCTTCTCGTTCTGAAGCACGGCAGATATCGACAAGGAAGTAAGCATGCAGCAACGAAAAACAATATAGAAGGAGATGTTTACAGACAGGAATTGTTACTTCAAAGATGCTTTAACTGATGCTTTATTGTGAAAGTGCTGAAAGTTGCAAATGCGGGGTTTTCATAAACCGGTGTTCTGAATGTGCAGACTGATGATCCCCAGGAAGCGCATTGAAAACAAACTTCCAGAGTCATTCAAATAATTTATTAATCAAATCACATTTTCGCCGATTCAGAAACTGATACCACAGTACGTATAAAAAATGAGAAGATTTCTTTATTTAACAATTAAAACAGCTGCGATTATGCTGAAGATCCAACATGCTGCTAAAATCGGCCTCGTAGTCCCGTTGCAAAGGTTTTCGTTGCAGTAGCATGTGGTACTTTTGTCGTTTTCGCTACCCAATGGAGTTGTTTCACAGCCATCGGGGTGGTAGGATTCAGCGCAACCTCGATAGGTCGTGGTGCCCGAGGAAGCTAGGAGGTTAAATAAATAATTTCGATAAATAAATCAATCACATTTTTACTCATGTACGTAATGACGTGACAGGTGGTGTGTTCAACCTCACACGTTTGCCCGTTGCAATGGCGGTCTTCGGTGTTCATAGTGTTGCAGGAGTAACATGTATTAGTGAGACCTGAAACAAAATATGATGAAAATACTGAAAGTCTGAAACGTTCCGTTTCATAATGATTATATATTGTACATTTTCATGTAGAGGGGTTTACTTTCTGAAATAATCTAGTTCATAGCGATATGTCAGTTCATTCCTATGTTGTATTCTAGGTATTTTATGGTTATTTGCACTACCAAAAAATGTGATTAGTTTTTGAAGTTGATCGGTTTGCTGCGCCCACGATATTGGAGGAACATGCTGCACTACTAAACTGGTCGACCATTTAGAGGGCAAGGAAAACTATGCCAACTGTGGATAATCCGGAGTCGGAAGAATCCTGTAAGACATTTGTATGCGGAAGGAGCCATTAATACACCGCGACTAAGAATTACCTTCTTCTTCTTCTTGGTGCCCATCTTTCATACGTCTCTACGATTCACCTTGGTATCTATCATGAAAAATAGTTATACAGTCCTGCAGACTTGGGTCCTGCATACTGTAGTTGATTCATGACGCTAGCGTCAGTAACAAATTGGGTTCAGATGTCGGTGGCCTAAATATGGGCACAGTTGTTGGTTCTCATTAGTTCTTTTTTTGCGCTTATTGAAATTATAACTTTTACTCGTTTGCATAATCAGAACGTCTCTTGCTTGTTATGTTTGCTTTATAACATCTTGCTATAAGGCGCCGGTTGCTGCATCGTCGAAGGAAGTGTTCCTCGTCGAAATCATCTGATTCTAATTTGTTCATCGCTGTTTCATGTTGGCTTAATAGTCTGTCTTCCATGTGTCGGCTTTCATAGGCTCGGAAAAGAGAAGCTCACAGGCTTGAGTAAATGGTGCATGCTTAACCAGTTTGTCTAACAGGGCTCACCTCTTTTTAGTCTCCACATCTACTCAGAAAAGTAGTCATTCGCAGCACAGTTTGGCAATCTAATTATCGTTATGCGTCGAATTCAAGAAGGTTCAACCGTCATTCTGACGCATTCGTTTTGAGGAATCTTTTTAATGCTGTACAGCAATCTGATATAGGTAAGGTATAGGAGGGTTATTGTGGAAAAGTCACACCTTTCTCAACTCAGATGTTAAACATGTTTCTAAAAGCATTCGAAGCTAGTTCAGTCCTCCTGTTTAAGTCTGGCTGGATGATGCTATTGCTGAAAATAATGGGAACGAAATACTTAAGCTGATGAACCTTCTGAAGTGCTTCGCCTCCTTTTTCGCTTGTTAATGAACTGTACTGAATTGGCTTCTTATAATTTTTGACTTCCTGACGTGTTGTAGGCGGAAACTGTCAGGTAACTGATTTATCCACACATAACTCGCAAAGAAGATATCATCTGCGCATTCCAGGTCAGCAAGATACCTAGCCGGATATGCTTAACTGGGCCTTCCCTCTTGAAATTTAATTGTTAAAAACCTGTTGACATCTTAGCAGAGACTGGCCGCACACTGAACTACTGTCAATCACTACTAGTTGTACGTCTAAATCGTAATAAGCGTTAGCCCGATTTAATGGCCTCAACAATCGCAGGCAACAGAATCGCAAAATTAGAATTTCAGTATGAGACTGACAGTTTAGATAAAACTTTAAAACACCGTGTTCACCGAGGACTATCTAGATTCTAGAAATATCTAACTTCGGGAGATAAAAGTAGAAGATAGTGATAAACATGTCAGTCATGTAGACTGAAACAGGATTGTCCGTTGACTCAGTAACTTCAGAAATTACCTGAACGGAATCATGCAATCGAAATGTAAATATCTGAAACTCGAAAGCATGAAAAAGGTATTCACTGATGTGTAAGATGAACGATTATTGCAAACGGTGCTCACCGACGAAGGCATAATACTAACAGTATTCAATCGCACCAGATGAGTGCCTCGATTCGTCAAATTCCATAACTTCGTGGTTGCCTGTTAGAAACAACTGATAAACTTGAGTTTCTTCACATTCACCTGTTTCTTTCCCTGGAACCATTACGGATGGATGACCTTTTGTTGCTGTGCGTGTCATGCCCCTTTTGGCTTCTGATCTGCATGTCGAACATGATCGGTTGTTTAAGTCAAACCCACTCGAAAATAAACCATCGGACTCTTGTCAACATATCATTTCATAATTTTCTTCTTCTGCAACTTGTTCCTTTTCTCGTTCGTTTCTTTTCTTGTAATCAAAAATACCTTTGTCGAATACCAGTATCCATGCAGCGTCAGCGAGTCAATGAATATTTAAGGATGATGCCCCTTACTTAGCGAATAAAACGCGTAATGACACTAATTTTTAACTCTAAAATCTGCATTGGCGTACAATAATTATAACTGAAAATATTTCGTGCTAAATTGTTCTTAGGTTTTACTCAATTCACTTTATCAATGATATATTACATTACTGTTTGTCAGCTTAAGCAAAGACAGTGTTTACCTTTCTTGCTTATCAAAAATTATACTAATTTTCACCTGTAATAAATTAATTACTTTTATTGAATGCAGTTAACTAAAGCATATTGTATGCAGCATACTAAATGCTCCATGTCCTGCTCAGTGTTAAATGAAAGCGTCAGCTCTAAGGAATCAAGAAAAACAGTGATGGAATCTGTAATGCGTCCGCTTACCTCTGAAAGTGCACAGTGCGAGGAAAAGAATCACTTCGTATAAAACCATTCTGATGGCGATCACAAATTTGTCTTCTTGCCGGCCGGCCCGTTCACAACCTCAGATATTCTGCGCAAACGACGATTTCTTTAAATATAGAGCAGCTCATAAAACACTTGATGGTACTCTGATTCATGACGGTGATTTGCCCACGAGCTGTATGGTTTTTATATCCCAGCGACATGGCCGAAAATTTTTAGAAAGCAAAGGAAGGTTCCAAAGGCGAAACCGGCTTGCCGACTGCTGACACGCACCGTGCGATGTGCAGAAGTTTTCTGAAAGGAGAACTGAAAGATGAAAAAGTATT